ATATTCAGCTTATTGTCCACTGTAACTCCCAGGTCCTTTTCTGCAGAGCTGATTCCCAGCCAGTTAGCCCCCAGCCTGTACCGGTGCACAGGATTCTTCCATCCTAAGTGCAGGACTTTGCACTTGTCCTTATTGAACTCCATGAGATTTCTTTTGGCCTAATCCTCCAATTTGTCTAGGTCACTCTGAATCCTAGCCCTACCCTCCAGCATATCTACTACTCCCCCCAGCTTGGTGTCATCTTCAAACTTGCTGAGAGTGCACTCTATGCCATCTTCCAGGCCACTGATGAAGACACTGAACAAAACTGGTCCCAGGACCAACCTCTGGGGCACTCTACTTGACATTGAGCCAGTGATTACTACTCTCTGAGTCCTATGCTTCAGCCATTTTTCTATCCACCTTACCGTCTGTTCGTTCAGCCCATACTTCCTTAACTTGCCTGCGAGAATATTGTGGGAGACCGTTTCAAAAGCCTTGCTAAAATCAAGGTACACCACATTCACTGGTCTCCCTGCATCCACAGAGCCAGTCACCCTGTCATAGAAGGCAATCAGGTTGGTCAGGCATGACTTGCCCTTGGTGAATCCATGCTGACTGTTCCTAATCATCTTTTTCTTTTCCAAGTGCTTACAAATGGATTTCTTGAGGATCTGCTCCATGATTTTTCCAGGGATTAAGGTGAGGCTAACTGGTCTGTAGCTCCCTGGATCCTCCTTTTTCCCTTTCTTAAATATTGGCACTATGTTTGCCCTTTTCCAATATCCAGGACCTCTGCTGATCACTATGAGTTTTCAAAGACGATGGCTCTGCAATCACAACAGCCAACTCCCTCAGCACCCTCAGGTGCATCCCATCCAGCCCCATGGACTTGTTCATGTCCAGCTTTTCTAAGTAGTCCCTAACCTGTTCTTTCACCGCTGAGAGCTGCTCACCTCCTCTCCAAACTGTGCTGCCCAGTGAAGTAGTCTGGGAGCTACCCTTGCCTGTGAAGACAGAGGCAAAAAAGGCATTGAGCACTTCAGCCTCCTCCGCATCATCCATCACTAGGTTGCCTCCCCCCATTCAGTAATGGACCCACACTTTCCCTGGTCCTCCTCTTGCTACCAACATACTTGTAGAAACCCTTCTTGTTACCCTTCACACCCCTGCTAGCTGCAATTCCAATTGCGCTGTGGTCTTCCTACTTCATCCCTGCATGCCCAAGCAATGCTCTTATAGTCCTCCCTATTTATTTGTCCAAATTTCCACTTCTTATAAGCTTCTTTTTGTGGCTTAGTTTAATCACCTGCCCTTTCCCATGGCTAATGTTTGATACTTCAGAGGAAGGTGAAAGGATCCCAGAAGCCATGTAATGCATTCAAGAAAAAGCCAAAAAATTCCTGTCTTCACTGGGACTAATACAGCATAATATGGTGCCATATTGTAGTCCTTAAGCTTGGCAGAATTAATGATGGAGGGTGGATGTCCTTCCCTAGTTATATCTTCGAGTTTCCACATCTAATAAAGCTGCCTTTTTGTGATTTAGTTTACTGAAGAGTTCCCTAGTAAACTAAGTTGGTTTTCTGCCATACTTGCTAGTTTTCCTGTGCATCGGGATGGTTTGTTCCTGGACTCTCAGGAAGGCTTCCTTAAAGTACAGCCAAAATAAGCTTAACTGATATAAATGTCTGCTTGAGGAAAACCAAAAAAAACTATTAAGATTAATGGAGTTGTATATTCAGTGTATTACAGCTTCTGTAGCTATTCTGTATATGAATAGAATATAACAGAAGTCCATCTTCTTTTTTATTTATCTCCTTATTTCTCAAGCAGTTCAATGAAGGATACTTTAGTGATGGAAAGATTGACGCATTAAAATTATTTTTTTTCATAGGAATAATTTGTATTTGAACTTTCATAAATGTATATGTAAATCTAGTTAGCCTTTTATATGTGAATTTCTACTAGAAATTCCATTAAGGTTGCATTTTTCCCTTTAAGTGAAGTAGATGTGTGGTTTTATAAAGGAATATTATAAAATTTATTTGAAGGCTACCTCTCATAAAAATAACAGGTGAATATGAGTCATGATTATATGTCTATCTTTTTCAAAAACTTTGAGTATTATAAAAGCATATCCATTGATGTGTTGTATCACAGATTAACAGTAAAATATACTTGTAATATCCTGCTTTTCTTGATTTTATCCTTGTGCGTTGTGCAGTAATTCCTTCCCAGAAAGGCATGGAATAAGCAAAATGTCTAAATAAACCCATCAGCAAATGTCTGGCAGTCATTATAAAAGCAAACAAAATAAGGAAATGGGAGATTATATCTAGCATTTTGGGCCTGACCCAAAGCCCTTTGAATGGAAACTTTCCCAATGATCTCTACAGCCGTGCATATGCCATTTCCAGAGTGAAACTGGGAGTGCCACCAAGAATCAAGCCCTTCATGCTTCCTCCTGTTCCACACATGCTCAGTTACACAGAGATGATACCCAAGCATATATCCAAGTGCCACTCTCAGGTGCACTATCTCTGCCAAACTGCCATGCTTGGGAATGTGCAGCGCAGAAATCAGGGCAGGGTTCTTTCTTGGTGGTAATCTTGGGCTCAGCAGGGAAGTGATACAGATGTGTTCTATGTTTTTAAGAGCTGGATTTGTGGAATCCTTCACCTACTGACATCAGTGGCAAAACTCCCATTGGCTTCTTGGATAAAGGGTCTGGCTCTGTGTGAATAAGGCTGGTAGCACCACAAGACACAGTTCTAACTCCAACAAGGCATATCCAACAAGGGAACTCAACAAGGCATATCCAGTAAGTGGAACAGGTACAAAAGAGTATATTTCGAATGCAAATGGATTTATGAATTACAGGCAGATGGAAGGGGAAAGTGTGCCTTACAAAGGGGAATTATTGACTGAGGCATATGCAGTTTAAGAGCTGGCTGCCTTCCTCCACCAAAATAGGAAGCATAAATTGAAGATAATAACAGATTAAGCATGAAGAATGTTTACGAAAACTATGCCTATATGGAAATTAATGCACGTGGGGGATATACTAGTGTTGGCTACAAAGGACCAACTCACAGGATCATCATATAATTCTAGTTTATTAGACGGATGCAAAAGTCAGATCATAAACGTTGAGGCTGATCCCCTGAAACACGCACACATTCACGCACGCGCGCACACACACACACACACACACACACACACACACACACTCACAGTAGCTACCTATGAACACTAAGCACCAGTGTCAATATATACCTATCCCCAAGCGCTGGAGTCCACTGTCGATGGCCAGTTGAGGGTTCTTTCAGTGCAATGTTACTTCAGAAGGTGGTGCCCATGCTCACACTGATACAATTATTTTTCCCTTATCTTCACCACTAAGAAACCTCCTAACTTTTCCTAATCACATTATTTGACATTGTTTTGTCAATGTAAAATGTGAAAAGTAATCTCAAGAAGAAACTCAGAAGTTCCCAGAGACAAGTGGAAGTTACAGTGAATTTGGTTAAAAATAAATACTGGTAGCAAAGAAGGATTTATTCACTTCCTATAGAAACTAAGAAACCACTGTTCTTGCAAAATGTGGGTCTTCAGCAAGCAAAATTTATGATGTAGCGGATGAACTTGCAGCTCCCTCCAAATAAGCCCAAATTGATGAGCGGGTTAGTGGACTTAAAGCAGGAAACCATGCTTGTGTAAGAAAGACTGGCAGCCACAGAAATCGCTCTGATGCTCAGGTGATGTGTAACAACCTTATCTCCTCTAACTAGGTAGGACAGGAGATACTATGATCTCTATAGTACATCCCACATTCGCCTTTGCTGAGATTGCCATCAAGGGGTTCAATTGTTATTGTACTTCAAGGACTGAACACTTGACACTAAGAATTAGACAGAGATAATTAATTTCAAATACTATACAGATTCCTGGATAACTGTCAAATGGTGTCAGTTTCTGCCACTACTGACCTGGGCTGAATTGAACCAATTACCTAAAAATTGGTATTATGCCTATTTACACCAACTGAAGATCTGGCGCACTGAAATTCTGCCATCATTCTGCTTAGTTACTGAGCTTTGTTAAATCTCTCTAGTGCTCTTCACAGATGCATGACATAAAATTGTAACTATATCAACCCTCTACAAACCTCTGCTAATACACGTGGGTCAGGAGGGCTAGAGGTATGATTCTTGACCAACAAGGCTGTGCTGGCCAAAGCCTTTAGCGGATATGCAGTTATCCTGGCAAAACCATGCATTTGCCAGTATAGCTTATTTTATTTAAGGCAGTGTTGCCCTAAATAAGACAGCCCTTTGCAGTCATACCAGGAGTGCTTTGCCCATATTACTATACTGGCAAAGCATTACTAGCACAAACCTAGTTTCCAGGAAAAGTGGATGAACAGTAAAAATGACTCTAACAGAATAACCTCCACTTGATCAGTCTGTGCTAGCATTAAGAGCAGTATTCTTCAGAAGGTCTTTTGCAAGCTTGAGAACCTGTATTTACATAGCTGCCATCTGTTACAAACTATTCTATTCTGATGTTGTCATTAATTGTACTTTGAAAGATTATAAAGCTTTGCCTGCTAAAATTACCTATTAATGTTCAGGCATTCTCTGAGAGCAGTTTTCTACAGCAGGCCTCTTTTCACCTACAGCATCCTCCAAAATGGAATGAATCATGAGAGCCAGGGACTTTGTTCAGAGGGCAATAGGCATGAATTCTCCACTTAAGATTATGTAGGCAAATCTGAAAAATAAAGAAACACTATTTGAACTTGACCAGGGACTTCTCAAAACCAAAAACTTCTTCTGTACCCCTACAATCCAGATATAGACAGACAGGGAAATCCATGTTATTTGCATATCGGGTTGGATAAGACATACTGAAAGTCAATTTCAGATAGCCATTCATGAGCCATATTTGTGTAATTTAAAAATGATGAGAATCTCCCACTAGGGAAAAAAGTAAACTATCCCCAGTGCTTTTCATACAAAAATCCCCAAATATCTTTAGTTCCTTTTGAAAGCTGGCAAATAACCAACAAGGAACTTGCAATGCAGCTAAAGTAAAATGTCTCTTCTTCAGGTGAAAAAGCATTTTCAGTGTTTGATGTAAACAAAGTAAGGTGGAGCATACAGCAGCTTTAGTTGTGTTTTTTATGGAACAAAGCTAGATATTTCTGCACTTACTTTACTCATGGCATTCTACAGATACAATCCTCCTTTTTGCTGATTTGAGCACTGGGCTCCATCCTTACCCTTGGTGGATACTTCTAAGCATGCATCTGACAAGTGGTGAAGAGGCTGACATGTTCTGAATGCTGCAATTCAGCATTCTAAGAATTTTCTACTACAGTCACATTTCCTCTGAAACTAACAACCTAGGGAGATGACCTACACTTCTGCTATCTCACAAAAAACATGTTTCTTTATGCAAGTTAACCTTGTGATTGGTAATTTAAAAAAAGCTTTTTAGGGCTTGTCTACACACACAGCTATTCTGGAATTACTTCATGTGTAGACATACATCTTGGAAAAAAGACAAATTTATTCCAGATTATCTGTTCTTTTCTAAATTCATACTCTATTTAATCCAGAATAATTTCCATGTGCATACAAGCCCTTACAATATGATTTTAAAAGCAGTCAGTGTTGGCCTAACTAGATTCCTACTGAAATCAATGGTAGAACAACCCTTTGGTAGAATAGAACAAAAGGACTTCTGAAAATCTTACCCTCTGGGCCTTTTATATAAGCATGTAACTGACTATAGTTCTGTATGGATGATATGTGGCTTTGTCCTAGAGTTGAGGTTGGACCACTGGCTGAATCTGGCCTATGAAAGGATATTATCTGGCCTGCAAAGCTGAGATGTTGGTAGCAACTTAATGGCAGTGGGGAAAGTAGTGGTAGCAATATGATGGCATGAGGATTTGTTGGCAAAGAAGTGGAGGCCACCCACCTTCAAATCGAGCTTTGTTACTTTGACCTGTTGCTGCTAAAGGTTGCCAACCCCGACCTAAAAAGTAAAACAAAAAATAAATGTTGTAGAAAATAAGGTAGACTATAGAGATATTGAACATGAAGCAAATTAATCTATATGTAGAAAAAATGCCTAATTTTAAATAACAATTCTGTGACATTTTAATTTACAGATAGGACTGCCTGAATGATTCTCTGTAGCCTGTAACCAGTTGATGGGCAAGACATACTGCAGTGTCATTTAATGCAATATTTTTATGAATGCGGCAGAAGAGGGTTGAACAGAGGCATGGCAACATCTGAAGATGCCACAAGCTTTTAAAATTTGTCAAGACCAGAGAGCTTAAGGAATTTCGGACTGACCTACCAGAGCATGGCAATGGCACAGCATAATTACAGATGAAGTTCAATAAAGGTAAGTGCAATGTGAAGCATACTGGAAATCCTTATTAACTAATCACCACTTCAGGAAGAGCCTTGGGCATCCCTGTACAGAGAGCAATTAAAAATTATCAGTTCATTGTGCAGCACCAATCAAAAAAAATTGAGATGCTGGTTTCCCATGAAACAGATTGAATAATAGTAAAAATCTGTTAATGCTCAATAGTGTACCTTACCTTGATTGCAGTGTTCCAGTTGGTTACTCAGGATTTTCAACAGAATCAGAGTCAGAGGTGTTCTGCTTTCATTTTCACATTTTACCGTTGAAAATGCACACACAAAAAGAGTAAGCAGAAATAGGGAAAGCTCAGCAGTAACCACTGTATCTAGATACAGACTATCTACTTTAAAAGAAATAAACAAGAGGTGACATAGTGGATGTCAATAAAATAGCAAACAGTACACAGAAGGTTCCTTAGAGGTTGAAATGAATTCATACTCATAATACACAGATAAAGTAGCAGCTAATTACATTCATAGATGACAAACTTAAAACTGACAACAATCATAATATGAATAATTAAGCTGTGGAACTCCAAGCCATAAAGGTAGTATTGAGGTATAGAGTTTAAGAGAACTGTAAAAAGATTTGACTTTTATATGAACAGTAACAAAATCTGCAATTACATCTATAAGACCTGAAAAAGAATGTCCTGGTTTGGAAATCTTGTAACTCTATCCCAGCTACACAGTTGGTCTAATAAAAGATAATCACCCTAAGAAACCCTTGCATCCCACATAGCTTAACTGTTGGGAGTTTACTGAAAGTGGTACAATTTTCTCAGGTAAATGAGGTTGTAGAAAGCCAGATCCTATTCCATCTATTGGATATTTAAGTGGGCGTGTCTACACATGCATTAATATGCTGTTGCTACTGTGCATTAAGTTTAGTACCTCTGCTATGAGGTACTACATAAATGTGCACAGTAGGAATGGCACACAATCTTTTTGTGATGCTTAACACACAGTAGACCAATTCTACTGCACATTAGCACAGTTTTTGCTGTGATGTGCTAATGCGCAATAGAATTAGTGCATTAAGTATCTCATGTAGATGCTCTCAGTGGCACTTAAGTGTATACATGCCATCCTGTGCCACCCTGTGGAGTCTCTGAAGAACCAGTAATGTATCTGCTTTTGTGAGATGCCTTCATCAAGTGGCGTAGGATCTGATGGTTAATTGCCTGTGGGTGCATCTAGACATTCATTATTGAGCTGTAATTATAGCGCATTAAGTTTAGTACCTAGGGGTACTAATTAGCATGGGTTCAGAGCAGACTTGATTAACGGAGTCTGCTACAAATCTTCTGGAGCATGCTAATTAGCATGCTTCAGCACCCTCTGTGTTGTGTATTCAGTGTTCCCAACATATTTCAAAATGGTGGCAGGGCCGCTTTAACTAAAGCTCATTGAACACGTTTTATTTAAAGCACCCTTGCTAACATTTTGAAGCCCACGAGCTAAATATACCTGATGCTACAGGCACTTTAATTAGAGTGCCTCTCAAAGCTGATCTAATTAAAGCACCCCCCTCCTCACAGGAGAGCACATGCATACAAGCCCACATGTAATAACAGGGCATTTCATAGATTCATAGATGTTAGGGTCGGAAGGGACCTCAATAGATCATCGAGTCCAACCCCCTGCATAGGCAGGAAAGAGGGCTGGGTCTAGATGACCCCAGATAGATGCCTATCTAACCTCCTCTTGAAGACCCCCAGGGTAGGGGAGAGCACCACCTCCCTTGGGAGCCCGTTCCAGACCTTGGCCACTCGAACTGTGAAGAAGTTCTTCCTAATGTCCAGTCTAAATCTGCTCTCTGCTAGCTTGTGGCCATTATTTCTTGTAACCCCCAGGGGCGCCTTGGGGAATAAAACCTCACCAATTCCCTTCTGTGCCTCCGTGATGAACTTGTACTTATACACACACTTTTTCATTCGGTGATACGCCAGAGATCTGCCACTTTGCAGCAAACTCAATGAACTGAGCCTGCTGCACACAAGCGTTGACACGCGCTGCGCCATGTCGCCTGCATTTGTGTCAGCGGCCAAACATGTGTCAGCACACAGAAAATGGCAGCGGTGTGCTTTTGAACTAACGCACCTCCAATGTGTTTTAGTTCAGAAGTGCCACTGCCTTTTTTCTCAGCAATGCTGGCGCTGCGGCACTGGCGTATGTAAAAATGCCCACAGGTACTAACATAACGCACTCCAACCTGCATATCTTAGCGCAGGTGAACACTTTTTGTGTGACGCTTAATGCCTGTTGGACTAAAATACCGCGCATTAACAGGGGTTTTGCTGTCGGCTTTAATGCGCAGCAGTTAGTCCGTGGGGCATTACGCGTCTCGTGTAGCGGTGCCCTCCATGTCTGGAGGGCAGGCGCCCTGGCTGGGTGCCGGGGAGGTCACGGACATGAGCCGGAGGCAGGCGGGGCCGGGACCGGGGCCGGACTTGAGCGCGCGGGAGCTCAGGGCTGACTTCACCGCGTTTCACAACGCGAAACAAAAGGAAGGAAAAAAAAAACCCCAAAACCAAAAAAAAAAAGAAATCGGGGCTTCGATCCGCTTTCTCATGTCGGATTTTCCCCGTGAGCAATGCCGATAAATACAGCAGCAGGGATGTCCGCAGCTCATTCTGCCCTGCGGTCTCGGGCCAGCCAGCCCTCTCGGAGCGCGCAGGGAAGGCGAAGCACAGCGGAGGGCCATGCCGCGCAGTGAGTGCCAGCCCCCACGCCCGCCCGCCCGCCCGCCCGCCCGGCCTGTCGTCCGGGGAGGGAGACCTCGTGGACGAGCCGTCGCCCTCGCGGAGCTCCCCGGTGCCCGACTACGAGTCGCTGGCGTGGCTGCTGCGCAGCCGGGCGGCCAGGCTGAAGCACGAGGGGAGTGGCGCGGCGCGGCGAGGGGGAGCAGGTGCCTCACGCCTGCCTGCCCGCTCCACCCCGCAGGCGGCACAGCCAGCACTTTCCCCCCTTGAGCTGCACCATGGAAGCGGTGCAGATCCTCCCTGCCCGCTTGCCAGGACCGTGCCCACTGCAGAGGCCTTCCGACAACCAGGAAATGCCCTCCCTTCCCCTTAGCCTGGCTCAGGCTGCGGAGCCTTGAAGATAAATCATAGATAACCCTGGACACTGGTCAGATCTGAAAGCCGTTTCCGCTAGGGTCCATAGTTTCCCAGGAGGCTTTTATTTCCAGCCTATGTTGCCTAAAGGACCTGGGCAGGAGTCCTTAAAACAAGCCCCCTACAAAACATCCTCTTTCAAACCCCTCTTCAAATAGTTGAAGGCTGCTATTAAATCCCCCTCAGTCTTCTCTTGTCCAAACTGAGTAAGTCTAGTTCCCTCAGCCTCTTCTAAAAAAGCCAGGTGTCCCAGCCTTGTAATCATTTTCCTTGCTCCCTGCTAGTTGTCCACATCCTTGCTGTAGTGGAGGGCCCAAAATTGGACACAGTACTTCACTCACCTCAGTCAGCTGGCAATGCTTGTACGAATACATCCCAGTATGCCATTAGCCTTCACTGGGGCATACTGTTGGCTCATATTCAGCTTATTGTCCACTGTAATTCCCAGGTCCTTTTGTGCAGAGCTGCAGCTTAGCTAGTCAGTCTCCAGCATGGGCTTGTTCCATCCTAAATGCAGGACTTTGTACTTGTCCTTAATGAATTTCATGCCCAAGTCCCTGCCATCACTATGCATTACTACTTTGCCTTGAATAAGGTAATGTGAAACAGGTGTAAAAACAACACTTTTTCTGTTTGCAGATGTGTGAGAAATTTACTGTGTGTGAAAACAGCATGGAAATGCTTGTCCAAAGCCATCTGAAACTCCCCAAGATCCTGGATGAAGACAGCTGCTTACAGTCTGGATTCAACAAGGCAAGGAATCAATAACTTCACTAGTGTAATGCTGGTCCTGGGTAACTGGTGCCTCTTGAGTCACATGCCCCCTGACACCAGTCAGCAACTTGGGGGGGGGGGGGGGGGGGGGGGGGGGGGCGCGAAGGAGGTCCCAGTGGCCAATCATGTTGACCTTGGGTGGGGGGAGTCCTATCCCCCACAGCCAATCTCACTCACCAAAAAGCAGCCACGCCGCTACCAGAAATCCCGCAGCCACTTCTGGAAGCAACGCAGTCACTTTTGCTGGTGGCCCCGCTCCCCAGCCTGTAGTCGCAGGGGGCCCACCAGCACTCCTGCCTGCCTGCCACCTGAGCATGGCCTGACAGGGGGTGCACCGGTGCTCTTAGGGGGTGCACATGCACCCTCTACTTGTCGCCACTGATGCTGTCATAACCAATTCTACATTTCTGGCTTGGTGCAAAAGCCACTAAAGTCAATGGAAAGATTTCCATTGATCTTGATGGATTTTAGATCAGACTTAGTTTTCACAGTAGTGAACTAGTAGTCAACAGCAGCAGTTACTAGCGAACTGATCCAAAGATAAAGTGATCACCTCATTTTTCAGCGACAAGTAATTATCTTACTCTTCTTTCATTTCAGGAGAAATGCTTGACAAAGATCTCCAGTGGCCTTTTTGCATTTCAACCATATCTGGAATATATACATGTACAAGAAACATTTATTAGTGAAAAGCAAAAAATTGAAACCATATGGTATGGCACAAAGCACCTGGCAAACACTGTGAGGCAGATGGTGAGTTATCTATATGTTTACCCATATACAAAACAATCACTTTGTTTTTAAATGAATTATATTTCAATAAGTCAATGTAGGATGTATCCTGATCCCACTGGTTTCAGTGGGAATAGTTTGGTACTTCATACTCTCAGAAATTCATCAGGAAGCATATCTAGATTAAGAGGTTTTACATTTGTCTGTGAAAGTTTAGATAGGAATGATCCTGCCTTGAGCAGGGGGTAAGACCAGATAACCATGGAAGATCCTTTCAGTCCTGTTTTCTACAATTCTAAGTAGTAGGCTTTTCATTCATCTATCTGTTGTGATCTGTAATAAGCACACCAGGTTTAGCAAATAAGTATGCTCTATTGAAAAGGAAAAATATCACTTTGGGATGAATGATAAATAGTCATTTCTTTTATTTTTTCCCCTAGTATTTATAGAATTGGGACTCAATTCTAGTCTTCTCACACTTCAAACTCCCATTGAAGTAAATAAATGCATTCAGAGAAATAATAAAAAAAATTAAAACATTGTTTAAAAAACCCAAAAAACAAGCTTTCGAGCAGGAGTATATGACACATTCTCAGATCTGTAATTTACTATCAAATGTACAACTAACAAAACTTATTCTGAAATTAAAAAGTTAATAATGTGGCTAAGAAAGACGTGCCACCTACAGAAAAAACACTTGCTTTTTGCCAGCAATCAGATTTACTGCAATCATAACATTTTATAAAAGCCTGAATATTTTTGAACATGGTAAATTAAATGCTGCTCATTTCTAATGATTTGCAATGCATTTAAAGAGCATATTTTAAAAATCTTTCAGGTTCTACAGTTCTTGTTCACATTAATAGCTCTTCATGTGAATAGATTCTTTGTAGGCAGTGAAACAACCTGGGCGAGTAAAAACCACTCAGGTGACCAAAGGGTAGCAGGAGCAAGAATTACGGAAGTCATAAACCATTATGTCCTACAAAAGGTTTTTCAGTGGTTTGAAAAGCCTATTGTACACATAAAGTACTTTTTATGCAACATTCATTTTTATCATTCCGTAAGTGCAAGGGAGCTGAACTACATTTTTACACTTTGATGGCCTTGAATAATAGTCCTGTTATGAAAGATAATAGACCACTGACTTCACATGGGTATATTGCAAAAATTGGCTTGTAGCAGTTGCCTGTTTTGTTTTATAACCAAGTGAGACTAGCCTTCCTGAAAGAAACTAATTGAATAGAAAGAACTCAACATAAGGGGACAAATACACAACTCAAAACCAAAACCTGTGGCTATGAAGACTATCAGAGATGGAGGAAACTAGAACAAAGTCTTAATTTTTAGTTAGGAAGTAGGGTTTTGTGCCACCCAAACAGCCACCCTGTCTCAGCTGCTACTAAATGTAGGGAGCAGTAGTGGGTACAATCTGTTGCTCATGTGCAACAGCTTGTAGTCAAGTGAATGAATTGGTGAGCATGGCACTCTGTGGTACTCTGGAGATGCCCCACCCAGAATCTCTGCAGTATGCAACAGCAAGTTAAAAGAAAAAGTTAAGATGCTCTTTCAGAATCCACCTCTTTAGGGGATCTAAGCAGAGAGAACATGCATTTCTTGTTGAATTAATTAAAGTAATATTGAAAGAGAGATGATCCAAATGGCATACTTGCTTCTGGTATCTCTTAGATAGTGGTCTAGGACAGGGGTTGCCTACCCCTGGTCCAGGACCTCCGGGAGAAAGAAGCAAACTCCTCTGGCTGCTGGTCTTTGTACTTCAGTAGACTCACAGAACTCAAACTAAATTGGCTTTGGAGCCTAACTCATATTCTCAGAAGTGCAGTAGTTTAGGCACTAAGGTGTCAGGTTTTAAAAATGTATTTGGGTATTTAACACTCATTGAAAGAAATCAGAGTTAGATACCTAAATACCTTCTAAAAACTTCAGTGAAGATACTAAGTCTCGTTCAAAGTCAACAGGATTTCATATCCCACAGTTTAAGTATCTTAAAGTGGGAGTTTGACTACTAAATCACTTCTACATGCTCTAATGTTTCTCCTTACTATAAAATGTGATTGTGTTTGAACACAATTTTGAACTTTGGGGACTCAAAGCTTAGTGATCAGGAAATCATACTCAGCATTACACTGGTAGCAGAAATCACGATAAACAGTTGTCTTGGTCTAAATAGCAGTGTGCATCTGATTCAACTGTGCACAAGTTATGTTCAAACACAATTTTGTTTAATGTCATAGACAAGACCTTATAATCAGATTCCAAAAAAGATTGCCAGCAAAAGTGGTACCAGATATAAATAAAAACAGGTATGTAGATGTGATGGGGATAAAGGTATTATGGATTACACAATGTCAGAATATCTGATGCCCCAACAGATGCATCAGTGGTCAAGCAGGTACTTTTCTAAGTATGTCCTGCATAAAGGCAGATATTTTCCGAGACCATTTTATAGCATAGTAACCAATATACTTATTTTCTTTTTCATAGATGGAAAATCCTGATGCGGTGCCCATACCAGACCAAACTAGTCAGAAAACGCTTCTTGAAAAACTAAAGGCAAATAAGAACTGGAGAGAGAAAATTGCCACTCATTTCATCCTCAGAGATTTTACTTCATTTATGGAGAAAACAGTGAGGGCTCTTCGATACATAAGAAAAACCAGGAGTTCAAGTGCTTGAATGTTTTAATTCAGGCACCTTCCTTTTCACAAAATCTGTCATGTGGCAGATGACAGTGTTGTTCTATTTTAAGAACCAAAACTCTAATAATAAGGGTTTCCATTTATAAATTGTAAAATCACTAGGATTTCTTTTGGGGAATATATTTATTATATTTAAAATATTTATTCATTCATAATAATGATTATTTATATTTCCAATATTTACAGAAAATTTAAACAGAGTATCTATTTTATTTGTTTCTACTGACATTATTTGCAATATCAGTTGATGTCACTGCCTATATAGCCAACAAAAATACACTTGAAAGGGCTGTTATCTAGAAAAAACCTGAATGTATAACTTATTTTCTTCATGTCTGAAATGTTGTATTTAAATCTATTTATATTTTTTAAAAACAAAATATAAAGCATTTAAAAGAAGATTTTGGCATTTAATAAAAGTATGAAAATTTTCAAATATCCAAGTTTCTATCTCTACACCTGTTTATATGGCACTTCATCATCATTCAACAGCCATTCTGGAAGAATTTGATTGTTGCTTATTTTGGGGATGAGGTGATACGAGGGGTTTGTTAGTTTTGTAGAAGATAAAAGCATAAAAAAAACTAGCAACGTTGCCAGAGAAAAATGTGGAAAAATCTTAACAGCAATATGACAATTATGCTGGAAATGTGGAAACTGTGAAACATCTTAACAGCAGTTATAAAAGTAATTATGACAGTTTGCCCCAAACAATGCAAAGACAGAAAAAAAAAATCCTACTCCCAGCAAGCAATAATAATTCAGCAATTTATACCACTACTTCCAGTGGGAACAGGAATCTTAATTTTTGAGTGGGTAAGGCAAACATATCACAGAACATCAGACTTGATCCATAAATTCCTTTCCTGAACTCCTACGTAAGACCATCTACTAACCAGCAGAGCCAGCCTACACCTAAAATGCAGCAAGGAACAGAAAAGGGAACAGAACTCCACTATGGATGCACACATGCTTCATGCACCCAAGCTTGAAGAACGTCTGAGCAGCAGTACACATACGGCATGTATGTATTCTGACCCTGTACACTGTGCACCTAGGGCAGGGCTGTCCAATATCTGAGTGGTTGCGGACCACAGGCCACCCCAGCCATACACCATGCGAGCTACACACACCTGGGCTACTTGCCACGCTGCACCACAGAACCCCATTCATGTGGGGCCCTGACATCTGAACCCTACACGCTGCACAGGCCCCTAACAGGTTGTGCAAGACCCCAACACTGAATAGATTCCTGATGTGCCATGCAAGCCCACCCAGCTACATAGCCCCTCCTCCCCCCACCCCGCAGCCCAGGCCCCCAATGCACTGGGAGAACCCCAACATCACATGGGCTCCTGATAGATGTGCTACAGCATGCAGGCCCCTTGTGCATACAGATATAATGCACTGCAACACAGTGCAATTTGTGCCCCTCCACTGCATGGTGGGCAATTCCGGCTGCTCTGCACTGGAATGGATACCATGTGGGGTCCCCAGGTGCCCCGAGACCTCCAACCACAGTCTTCCTCGGCCTCATGGGCCACGCTGCTCGGCCCTACCCCCAGGAACTAGGGTACACAGCAGAAGCTGGAAGAGGGAGGGGGAGTCCGGAGACTGGTGACAGCAGCAAGAAAGCAAAGGGGGGGCCATGCCCAGACAAGGAGCCTGGCACCTGTAGTTTAACCACCAGTTGGACAGCACTAATTCCGGACATAAAGGGCAGAGTGCACCTACCACACCTCAGCTTCCTCTCAGATATACAATCCCATGTACATGGGACTTCAAAAGTAGGGAACAGAGGAGGATATGTTATAGAAAATGCATGGCACACCCAAAAACTGCTGATACTGCAAGGACTTCTAGGTCCCTTTCTTTGTCCATATTCACATTTAGTATGGGTGACTCTCCAAAGTAGTGAACAGTCCATTCAGAGCTGGAATCTCAGCCTCTGGAGAAAAAGGGATTGAAGTATTGTTTTTGGAGGCTTCAAAAATTGTGTAACATCTCATGAACGAGTGAATAGTACTTGAAAGTAGCTTTTTTATAGCTACTTAGGATAGATGCATTTTCCAGTAACATGGTGAATGTTGTTTGAGATATGGTAAGTGCACTTTAATAGTTGTAGGAGGATCTACAGTGATTGAGAACCTCTGGGTAAAGGTCAGAGGGGAGAATAGCAAAGGAATTGTGGGCATTGGCCAGAGGCCAGAGTGGGCATTGGCCAGAGACTACCAAACCAGCAGAAAGAGGTGAATGAGGCCTTCTTTAAACTGACAGAAGTTCCAAACCACAGATTCTCATGGGGAACTTTAATTACCATTAAAGGAAAACACAGAAATGCAAAAACAGTCCAGCAAAGTCTTGGAGTGTGGTACATGTAATGAAAAGTTCAATTAGGGAGGGAAGCTCTTCTTGACTTGCTGCTCCACAAACATGAAGGAATTGACTGAGAATGTGAATATCAGTAACTCGGGTGACAGTGACCACGAAGTGATAGAGTTCAAGATCCTAAGGGGAAGAATGAAGGAGAGCAGTAGAATAGAGACTAGACTTCAAAAAAGCAGACCAACTCAGGGAATTGGGCCTTGAGAAGCAAGGCTGAAGGGAAAAAGTGTCCAGGTAAGCAAGGTGTACTTTAAGGAGGCCATTTTAAGAGAACAGGAGCAAGATATCCTGATGTGATGAGAAAATGGGAAATGCAACAGAAGACCAGCCTGGGTAGAGAGTAGTATTTTCAATGGATTGTAACTGAGAAAGGAATCCTACGACAGTGGAGAGTATAAGAGTATTGTTCAGGTATGCAGAGAGAAAAATAGAAAGACCAAGGCATGATTTGAGAGGCAACTGGCAAAGCACATAAAAGGCAATAAAAATGTCAAAAGTAAGAAGAAAACCGTAAGTCTCTTGAACAATTCAAAAGGCAACCAGGTCATGGACAATGCAGAGAAGGCTAAAGTATTTAATGCTTTTACTTCAGTCTTCACAAGAGGAGCAGCTACCAGATGATGAGTGCAATTGGCAGCAAAGACAGGGAAAGAGATAAACAGCCTAGAGTAGTAGAAGAACATGGTATGGATTACTTAGACAAGCAAGAGACTTTCAGGTTGGTAGGGCCAAATGAGATGCTCCTTAGGGTACTGAAGGAATTGGTTGACATAATTTCAGAGCCATTGGCTATCCTCTTCAAGAACCAGTAGAGTTCAGGTAAGGTCTTGGATCATTGGAAATTGGCAAATACAGTGCTCATCTTTAAGACAGAGAAGAAGGAAATTGTAGACTGGTCAGTTTGACCTCAATACTTGGAAAGATCCTGGAGGAGGTCCTCAAGGAATCTACTGTAAAGCACCTGAAGAAGAGAACAAGGTGATCAGGAACAGGCAGTATAGATTCACCAAGAGCAAGTCATGCCTGATCAATTTGATTTCCTTCTATAAGGTGGCAGGCCATGTAGAAGAGGAAGAGCAGTGGATATGACATACCTTGATTTTAGCAAGGCCTTTGATACCGTCTCCCATGACATTCTCGTTAACAAGCTAAGGAAATATAGACTAGATTAATAAGGTGGACAGAAAACTGGTTAGATCTTCATGCTCCATGACTAGTCATCAATGACTCAATGTCTAGTTAGGAAGAGGTTTCAAGTGGGGTTCTCTAGAGGTCTGTCCTGGGTCCATTATTGCTTAACATCTTGTTTACGGTTTATGATGATAGGACTGAATTAATGTTTAGTGAACCTGTGGACGACACCAAGTTGGGTCGTTGCAGACACTGGTGAGCAGGGATGGATCCAGAATGGCCTGGATAAGATAGAGAAATGGTTTGAAATCAATCAAACTAAATTCACCAAGGACAGAATTGCATGTACAAGTGCGGACTGGGGAATGCTGGCTAGGCTGCAGTACTGAAGAGAGGGATCTGGGGGTTACAATGGAACATAAGCTGAAGGCGAGACAACTGTGTGTTCTTGTTTCAAAAAAAAGGGAAAAGCATACTGGGTTGTATTAAAAGGAATGTCACTTGTAAATCAAGGAAAATGATTCTTCTGTTCTATTCAGCACTGGCGAGGCCTCACCTGGAGTACTCTTCCAGTGTTGGGTCCCACATTTCTAGAAGATTGTGAACAGATTTGGAAAGGAATCTTGCAGCAAAAAAGTTTTAGGTTAAAGATTAGGAAGAACTTTCTGACTGCAAGGATAATCGAGCATTGGAACACACAACCTATTTGTGGAATCTCTATCCCTGGAATTTTCAACAGCAGGTTAGACAGACACTTGACTGGGTTGGGTTAACCAGGGATGATCCTACCTTGAACAGGGAGCTGGACTAGATGATCTCATGAGGTGCCTTCCAGCCCTACTTTCTGATGATCTAATCTAACTATCTGGAGAACACTTATTCTTTCTGCTATAGCCACACATAAGAGTGATTTTGTAATGTGCAAGTAAAAAACAAAATCCAGGGATAATCTTATATCCATGGTGTGGAGACAGATACTTCTGTCCTAGAGACATGAAATCATAGAAGTTGGGAAGATGAATCTGTTGTTTCAGATGGAACTCAGTGATCATTTGTGGGAGAAATTTAGGGTGGATCTTTAAAAACACACCTTATTGGGATGGAAAACTCTAAGAAGAATCAGCCATCAGGTCTTGAACCTTCTCTACTATCCTTGCTGAGGCAGCAGCTATCAAAGTAAGGCACCATGTGGCACCATGAAGAGTGAACTCACCTGGCACAGGGCTGAGTTATCTCATGACACTTTGCTGCTGTGATCAAGATGTCATGATCCAACAAAGAAGAGATCTGCCTATACGTGACAGCCATCCAGCATTTGGATGGTCATAAATGACCCAACAACACATAACAAGCTTTTGCTTGTGAAGTTTGGAATCTAGTTATGATATCAGGTCAGTCAGGTTCTGGAACCTGTCCTGAAGCAAGAAGGGCACGGCCATTGGGGAATTTAGGTTAAAGGCAAATTACTTTTGTGTCTTTGAACTGGAGTGAGGTTGTTTTAGGTTTTTTACTTTCAGGCATGAGTTCCAAAACAGATGGACTATAAAATTAGATTTCTGATCAATGCTGAAAGTTTCA